GACGCAAGCGCGACTAGCAGCGCCAAACGGGATAGAAAATAGCGCGGCTCTATTCAACGTGGTCCCATCGTGAGGGGGAAGCGATCCATAATTGGCATCCGTACGGCAAATATAAAGCGGTGTGAAGCGTTCATACACACGTTCATCAAGTTATTCTGTTACACACAATTTTAAGCTTCTTTGTTAACAATAGCCTCGTGATGCTAAGGAGAATATTTCAACTAATGTTAAGGTTCGCTGAGACCTATTGACGGGACACGTTTTACATTTTCTTATTGTCCTGCTGGTTTGTTGACCAGCCTCATAGAGCTAACTCTGTGAGGCTGGTCACCATACCAACAATTTATTTCTATATTTTTTACACGCTTACCTAACCAGCTGCAATGGTCATATTGATTATCGTGACATAAATGTTATTTATAATGAATCTGGTTAATACATTAAAATCCCAATTTAACGTGGAATTTGGACGTGTCACAGTTCAAATTTGAGTGAGCCGCCTTGTCAGGCTGTCAATAGCTGTCTAGGAGCTAGTCGGCTCGTAAATGTAAAAACCGCCTGATATGACCGGTGCCGGGGTTTCTCATAATGATCATAGCTCCATACCTCTGTAGCTATTCCCACGATAGAAATCCTATTTTGATTCACGGCCGTAATGAATGGATTTCCAGTAGATTTCATTCGAAGTCGAATCGCTTCGGGCTTATCTTGATAGCTTTGAGCTATTGTATTTGTAAACCAATTACTCCTCTTCTCACTAACTATCGGACGATTTACGTACTAAAGTTCGATAACGAAAGTTCGTGGTTTTCGAATGTCAGGGTAAAGATACAGTTAAACTGCGAAGGCACAACACCAAACCAACCCTATTCTATCTCCCAAAAACAACCTCCTCCTGGTCGGCCATGTCCCTCATCCTGCACTTGACCCCCGCAGAGGTCATAACTTCCCACTTACATCAGTGTCTTCTCACATCAACTGGCATCGGCAAGTGGCGACACTGTGTAGACTCAACCCTGAGCTTGATCAGAATCTTCAGTCACAAACCTGACACCGTTTCGGGGCTTTCATTGCGATACGGTTTTCTGTCAGGTGCCCCAGCAGTCTCTCTTGGACCACCATCTGATCTGACAATCACCCGAGGATACCTGCTAGAGCTAGCAATTTACGACGAGTTAGCTTATGGCACCTCTGGCTGTTAGGTGAAGTCATAAAGCTCAAACAGCTCTCATCTCCCACTCTCTTTTCCTAGACAGCAGATAAATCCATCTTGAACAATGGGCTGCATCCTTCCCACAATCTCTGACCAACTTCTTGAGGGCTCTCCCAGTCAGACCAATCTTCCTTGATGCACACTCCAAACTTGCTGCGACCACACCTCTAGCACCAACCTCAACAGCAAAGCTGAAACATGACCACCCATTAGCTTGTATTTCTGCTTGTAGACTGTTATACCGATCAAGCTTCAGCTCATGGGATGCAGCTATTCTCTTTTCCGACGGTACTGTAAGCTCCCACCAGATTACTCTCTTGGAAGCTTCCGAGAAAAGAACCAAATCTGGTCTTAATCTGGTCGTTGCTATATCCGACGGGAATTTCAGCTGCTTATCCAGGTCTGCTAATACTATCCAATCAGTGGCCCCACTCAGAATCCCAAACTCACTGACTTTCGACCTCTTCACCTCCTTAAACCTCCCTCCTGCTGGAACAAACTCAATGGCTTTCCGAGTGACACAAGAACTCTTCCTCTTGTTGACTCTCCGCTCACAATGGAATTTAACCTGGTCTGCTATTTGTTTAAGCACCTTATCGTGGCGCCATCGGTATCTCCCTTGACTTCGTGCCACAGGACAACCAGCCAGGATATGCGGCACAGTTCCCAACTTGTCACCACACAGCTTGCACATCCCATCCTCATCCTCGCTCCACTTGGATGCTAAAGCTGGTGTAACAAGCGTGCCATACACAGCACTAAGCAGAAAACCGATTAATGAGTCCCCATACTTGAAGAGCGTGTGCCAGCTCATGTCAGTGCCCTGGGAGAAGATGTCAGAAAAGGAGCAGCAGAGGGAGGTGTTGGATAGGGTTAAGGAGAACATCAGGAAGGAAAGAGAGGTGCAGTTGGGTACGTTGGAGATGCAGTCCAGGTGGGGTAATTGGGGAGAGCTGGTGACAAGGACTGACATGAGCTGGCACACGCTCTTCAAGTATGGGGACTCATTAATCGTTTTTCTGCTTAGTGCTGTGTATGGCACGCTTGTTAATCAAATTTGTTGATTATCGCGATAATTCTCGAAAATTTTCGCGATAATCGATAATGATTTTTGGGAAATTTTTGCCGATAATATCGGTTGGCAACCCTAATCTTGATAGCTTTGAGCAACTAAAGTTCGTGGCTTTCAAGTGTCACCATACTATAACTACACTAGTGAATTTTATAAATTCATAAGGTAAAACCTACAGGAGGACTGAGGACATGACAATTAGGGTTAAGTTTGATCCAACTTCCCGAGCTTACCGGGTTTTACCATGTGTCAGGAGCCGTTGGGACGATTATGATGTAAATAGTCCATCCCGGGTTTGACCAGGTGACATTTGAATCCACCACTGTAGTATCGGTTGTTATCTATCATACGTTCAATAATCACTGTTCTAACAGTGGCCTGTTACTCTGGTCGGCACCTAGCTGCTGCATCTGCACGAGATCAAATGAGAAACTGAGAGGGTGCACGTGAACGCTAACAGGGTGCATGTCAGCACATGACTCATGAAGCAAATTCTTAGTTGCCTGTTTAAATTCCTTCTTCATTTATCGTGTTAGTTGACAATTCCATTTTTAATCAATCTTCAGTCAGAACTTTAAACCAGGGGGAAGCGATCCATAATTGGCATCCGTACGGCAAATATAAAGTGGTGTGAAGCGTTCATACACACGTTCATCAAGTTATTCTGTTACATACAATTTTAAGATTCTTTGTTAACAATAGCCTCGTGATGCTAAGGAGAATATTTCAACTAATGTTAAGGTTCGCTGAGACCTATTGACGGGACATGTTTTACATTTTCTTATTGTCCTGCTGGTTTGTTGACCAGCCTCATAGAGCTAACTCTGTGAGGCTGGTCACCATACCAACAACTTATTTCTATATTTTTTACACGCTTACCTAACCAGCTGCAATGGTCATATTGATTATCGTGATATAAATGTTATTTATAATGAATCTGGTTAATACATTAAAATCCCAATTTAACGTGGAATTTGGGCGTGTCACAGTTCAAATTTGAGTGAGCCGCCTTGTCAGGCTGTCAATAGCTGTCTAGGAGCTAGTCGGCTCGTAAATGTAAAAACCGCCGGATATGACCGGTGCCGGGGTTTTCCATAATGATCATAGTTCCATACCTCTGCAGCTATTCCCACGATAGAAATTCTATTTTGATTCACGGCCGTAATGAATGGAATTCCAGTAGATTTCATTCGAAGTCGAATCACTTCGGGCTTATCTTGATAGCTTTGAGCTATTGTAGATCAATTGCTCCTCTTCTCACTAACTATCGGACGATTTACGTACTAAAGTTCGATAACAAAAGTTCGTGGTTTTCGAATGTCAGGGTAAAGATACAGTTAAACTGCGAAGGCACAACACCAAACCAACCCTACTCTATCTCCCAAAAACAACCTTCTCCTGGTCGGCCATGTCCCTCATCCTGCACTTGACCCCCGCAGAGGTCACAAGCCCATCGGAGCACAAATGAGCGAGAAACGGGGAAGCTTACATCAGTGTCTTCTCGCATCAACTGGCATCGGCAAGTGGCGACACTGTGTAGACTCAACCCTGAGCTTGATCAGAATCTTCAGTCACAAACCTGACACCGTTTCGGGGCTTTCATTGCGATACGGTTTTCTGTCAGGTGCCCCAGCAGTCTCTCTTGGACCACCATCTGATCTGACAATCACCCGAGGATACCTGCTAGAGCTCGCGATTTACGACGAGTTAGCTTATGGCACCTCTGGCTGTTAGGTGAAGTCATAAAGCTCAAACAGCTCTCATCTCCCACTCTCTTTTCACGGCCAGGTAGCGTAGTTGGTTAATCATCGGATTTGTAATCGTGAGATTGCGAGTTCGAAACCCACTGCCTGCCTAGTCGTGGGGTGAGTGTCGTCGACATTCAGCTAAAGATCCTGAGTGGTCTATGCAGCCCCCCGGTCTACTCAGCCGAATATTCGAGAAATCGTGTGTGAGGGTTAAATGAGAAGCTGTCCATTGCAGCGAAGTCTCGGGCGAAGAAAGTATGGTACACACTACCTTAACCGTCACTGGCCTAATTAAATCCTTCGGCTTCCTGTAATTGGCTAGTTACACTTGTGTAACAATGTGGCTGTTGGAATACTCCGAAGTAAAATAAGTGTGAGATAAAAAAAAAAGACAGCAGATAAATCCATCTTGAACAATGGGCTGCATCCTTCCCACAATCTCTGACCAACTTCTTGAGGGCTCTCCCGGTCAGACCAATCTTCCTTGATGCACACTCCAAACTTGCTGCGACCACACCTCTAGCACCAACCTCAACAGCAAAGCTGAAACATGACCACCCATTAGCTTGTATTTCCGCTTGTAGACTGTTATACCGATCAAGCTTCAGTTCATGGGATGCAGCTATTCTCTCTTCCGACGGTACTGTAAGCTCCCACCAGATTACTCTCTTGGAAGCTTCCGAGAAAAGAACCAAATCGGGTTTTAATCTGGTCGTTGCTATATCCGACGGGAATTTCAGCTGCTTATATCCAGGTCTGCTAATACTATCCAATCAGTGGCCCCACTCAGAATCCCAAACTCACTTACTTTCGACCTCTTCACATCCTTAAACCTCCCTCCTGCTGGAACAAACTCAATGGCTTTCCGAGTGACACCAGAACTCTTCCTCTTGTTGACTCTCCGCTCACAATGGAATTTAACCTGGTCTGCTATTTGTTTAAGCACCTTATCGTGGCGCCATCGGTATCACCCTTGACTTCGTGCCACAGGACAACCAGCCAGGATATGCGGCACAGTTCCCAACTTGTCACCACACAGCTTGCACATCCCATCCTCATCCTCGCTCCACTTGGATGCTAAAGCAGGTGTAACAAGCGTGCCATACACAGCACTAAGCAGAAAACCGATTAATGAGTCCCCATACTTGAAGAGCGTGTGCCAGCTCATGTCAGTCCTTGTCACCAGCTCTCTCCAATTACCCCACCTGGACTGCATCTCCAACGTACCCAACTGCACCTCTCTTTTCTTCCTGATGTTCTCCTTAACCCTATCCAACACCTCCCTCTGCTGCTCCTTTTCTGACATCTTCTCCCAGGGCTTCTTCCAATCACCGAAACCAATTCCAGCTCTACTAAGAGGTTGCACCATACCTCGCACTGACTCACACACCAAGTCTCTTTCAGCTTCGTGAAGCTGAGCATCTGCCTTCCAAACTCTCCCAGACCGCACCTGGGGTTGCACCGCTCTGATCAAAGCATCCTGAGATGTTTGATATGACTGCAAGAGACGGCACTTTTCTACTTTCCAAGTGTCGGTTAGGCTGTCGATGGGGAGAGCAACACTGGATGAATGACTAAACAGGCAAGAGCTACTAAGCGTGTGTCCCACTCCTAGCCATTTTCTGAGATGACTGTTAGTTGTTTGCTCCCAGCGAGAAACAGTGCTGATCGGGATATCATAAATGGCAAGTGGCCACTTCATCTTTGGAAGGACCATATACTGATACCCCCAACATGTCTGCAGGCCGGTGAGGGAGCTAAGATCGAGTCTACTGAGGTATGTAATAAGATCCTCGTGTGTTTTCTCGATTATAGCTTTGTCCTTTCCTTCTGCCCGAATCCACCTCCCTAGAAACTTGATTGGTTTCTCAGATACATTCGGGATCACCTCCCCGCTAAGCTGCAACCTCGCCTGACTACCTTTTGAACTCTCTACAACCCACTCCATTGTCACTCCCTTCTGGTAGACTAGTGCCCTAGATTTAGACGACTTAAGCTTGAACCTTGACCACACAACGAACTCCTGATAAACATCAAGCAGGGTTTGCATATCTACCATTTTAGCCGTGGTAAGGCAGCTATCATCCATAAACAGCTTAAGGGGTGGTATAGCTGTTCCATCCTTAATGTACTCGACACTCCTATGTACCTTCATCTTCAAGTACTCATCAGAAAGGTTCATGCATAGCACAAACAAGATCACCGAGATGACACAGCCCATAAATATTCCTATCTCGAACTGCTGCCACTCTGATGTCACTGTTTTAGAGGAGAATCTTCCGTAAATTTCCGAGAAGTATTTGATTACGATGTTGATAACTTTCTCGGGGATATGATAGAAGCGGAGTGCTTTCACAATAAGTAAATGTGGAACAGCCCCGTAAGCATTCACCAAGTCTAACCAGACAACACTGAGATCCTTTCTCTTAACTCGAGCATCTTTGAGCACCTCCCACATAGCTCCAAAGTGCTCTGTACATCCGTGTACACCAGGAACTCCGCCCTTCTGCACTGAGAGATCCACATACCCGTTAGCGACAACAAAGTTGGTTAATCTCTTCACCAACACAGCGAGGTATATCTTCCCCTGAATGTTTCCTAGCGATATAGGCCGTCCTGTGCTGGATCCAAAATCTCCATCCGCCTTAGGAATGTAGATCCCTTCAAAGTACCTACAGTTGTCTGGGTACTCCTCAGCCTTGTAGCCTCCTCTCAGCACATGCCACAAGTTCTGAGATATTCCTGGACACCTCTTGTACACCGTATACGGGATGCCGTTGTTACCAGGTGAACTCTTACCTCTGGCTTTCTTAACAACCTCGTCGAACTCCTTCTTGGTTATATTCCTGATGTCAAACCCCACAGTTGGGCTAGGAGCTGCCTCAGGTAACTCATTCAGAACGCCAAGAGGAACTGCCCGACTGGCATCACTATACGTATTAGACAGGTGGTTGTCTAACTCCTCCTTACTACACTTTAACTCTCCCACAGGGCTTGGTTCAAGAATACCTTTAATAGCCTTGAAAGGATCTCGAGTAAACCCACCTCTCTGTCTCCTCACTTCTCTCTGCTTCTTCCTCCTTGCCTCTGCTCTTCTCAACTTACACAGCTTCTCTGCCAGGCCTCTAAGCAAAGCATTGAAACCTTCCTTTACAGACTGGGAACAAGCTTTCCTGGCTTTCCTCCTCAGCTCTCTCCTCTCAATGACCAACTTATCAATCTCCTCCTGTCTCCTGTTGCAAACCTGAGACCTTTACCTGACTCTGCACCATCAATCACGAGCCCAAACCATTCCACACCTTCATCATACACCGTGTCGCAATGGCTCACCATCTTCTCCTGGAATGGCTTCCCCTTCTGCTCCTGTCTCACTCTCTTACTAACACTCACATCAAACTCTACCCACCTCTCATCCTTTGCGGCCAGCCACTTCACCTTGGGCTTCTTAGGGGCAGGTGGGTCAATAGAAGAACTCTTTGAAAGAAGGGTCTGGATATCCCTGGCACTGTGGTTATCGTCCTGGCCAGGTACCTCCACCGAATTTACAGATGTAACATCTAACGGCTGCTCCCCTTCCCAAGAGCACTTCATCCTTCCTCGATAAATGTTCCTACCCCTTTCCTTTGTAAAGCGCCGACCACACACGCAGCTAAACTCCTCTGCTACATCAGAATCAGGGGTCGAGAGCTCTCGACTATTTGTATAAGTCCTTTTCTGATTCATGGCAGGACGTGGTGGGTGTCCACAAAGCCTTTATTTTTCACCCGGGCAACTCGTCCCTAAATAGGAACTCCCGGAACCTTAGAGAGGCAGGAGGCGCAGGACCGATGTGGACTGAGGTCTCCGCTCGTTAAAACCCCATCACACCTCTCTATTGCAGTAACCGCTGCAGGCACGGATCTCAACCCAACCCAGAAGCCAATTCCAAGTGTAGCATCTGTTCAAATCAGGTGGGCCTTACCCCACGGTAGCTGGCCAATCCCAGCAGTATCATAAAGTAGCATAGGGTAAAGATACAGTTAAACTGCGAAGGCACAACACCAAACCAACCCTACTCTATCTCCCAAAAACAACCTTCTCCTGGTCGGCCATGTCCCTCATCCTGCACTTGACCCCTGCAGAGGTCACAAGCCCATCGGAGCACAAATGAGCGAGAAACGGGGAAGCCTTAGCTACCGGCCCAAGGACTGCATCACTAGCAGCGAAATACGGATATACCTTCCCTTTTACATGCGTTCAACCGGCACCCGAACCACACGCTGTTTCTTAGACATAACTTCCCACTTACATCAGTGTCTTCTCGCATCAACTGGCATCGGCAAGTGGCGACACTGTGTAGACTCAACCCTGAGCTTGATCAGAATCTATAATACTATACTAATGAACGTTATAAATTCGAGATCCTGGTGGAACCTACAGCTGGACATGACAAGGATTAAGTTCCCCTAGCTAACTGTGAATAAACTTAATGATCACTTCTGCTTGAGCGAGCATGCTGTCTTTTTTACACAAAAAACTCAGTTACAGTCTTTAACGGTGCGAGAGTCTTGGTAATTTCTTTATCTTAGTCAGTCTCTCCTGCTCCAGTTTTAGATTGCCTAGCTCCAAGTCATCTAAAATTCCGTGCACTGCATCAGTTATCCGGTCATATCTCTCTAACATAATGCACAGCGAGCTCCAACGGGTTTTTTAGTCTCGTTGCAGTCTGAGTTCCTTTCCGTGCTTCAACAAAACAACACTAACTACGTCTGACATACAACTCAAGTTACCTACTAGATGCAATAATGCAACATTTCAATTTTCACAAATTCATACACACATACCATCACACTGAAAATTATGGTAGCATTAGCACTGGGTTTTAACTTTACAAACTGTGAAAATAGATTCGAAAAATATGTTAAATGTTGGACATTATACCATAATAAATTTTGTTGATTATCGCGATAATTCTCGAACATTTTAGCGATAATCGATAATGATTTTTGGATAATTTTTGCCGATAATATCGGTTGGCAACCCTAATCTTGATAGCTTTTAGAGTTTAAGCAACTAAAGTTCGTGGCTTTCAAGTGTCACCATACTATAAGTAACAGTAGTGAATTTTATAATTTCATAAGGTAAAACTACAGGAGGACATGACAATTAGGGTTAAGTTTGACCCAATTTCCCGAGCTTTACCGGGTTCTGCCATGGTGCCAGGAAGCCGTTTGCGGACGAATTAATGTAATAGTCCATCCGGGATGACAAGGTGACATTTGAATCCGCCGCTGTGGTAGTATCGGTTGGTTATCTATCATACGTTCAATAATCACTGTATCCTAACAGTGACCTGTTACTCTGGTCAGACACCTCTGCTGGCATTTCACCTTCGATTTTTCATTAACACAAATAATCCTTCTTTTTTTAATCTCTGGCCAGCTGCATGCTGGGTTTCAGAATGTGATACCAGATCAATATGCTGCGACTAATTGCAGCCAGATCCTATAATTGGATCCAATTACACGCGATAACTTTATTATTCCATATAAGGCCCTGATCAAGTAGCTTGAGCTCGGAGAACAAGCTCTGGTGACGTTCTTAATCATGTGACCTCAGGCTCATAATCACGTGACCTCAGACCCAATCAATTGGGTTTCGGCCTAGTCAGCCCTGCCCCTGTCACCCGATCTTGAGATGACCGTACGACACTCGTTGACCCAATAAATGTCTGGAAGGCTAAAAATTGTACATGCCAAAACTCACAATATTCCTTAAAGAGTTGTGCGAGATGACGATACATAGAGGCCGCAAAATTATGAGGAATACCAGATCCTGGTGGAACCTAAGCGATCCATGACATCACGACAGGCCCTATGATGACTGACGAACCATATGATGATGATAAGATGATACTTGATAGGTTACATCACCACATATTACGTAACCTCACAGGAAATGGCAACTTTAAATGCAACAAATTTAATAATCGATCACAATCTTTAGTTTTTAAAGAGTGGATCCTGTCATCGAACGTGTTCAACTTTTCTTTTACACAAGTTTCCAGTGCGCTAAGCCAAGGAAACTATAAATATACAATCTATCTGTTATAACATAATTACAAGTAATTATGTAGATATTTAATTATGAGTAATTAATTATACCGTCTCAGAGGTGTTGGGAGGAGACCCAGTGTTTGATGAGCAACCACGACGCAGATTGTGGAGTTGGGTGACAATGCTATCTTCTCTTGTTCCCCTTCAACTTGCTAACGTTCAGGTTTACATGGGAGATATTATAAAATTAATAAACAATATTATTTACATAATTAATATTATACAATTATTCATGCTGTCACTTATTCTGAGATACTGTTATGTATGAAACTTCGGATTCTGGACCCACGTTATGCTGTTATGCAATGAATCCGAGGTATGCTTTAGAAATTGAATTTTATATCATACGAACGAAAACATTTTTTGCTCTAAGAGATCGTTCACCTCGAAGTAGTTTTTAAGACTGATTGGCTTGAGTTCGAAATTATAAACAAAACCATGCTGTGCAACGTTTCAAAGCAAAATGTGATGTATGGTAGGATTAACATAGAAATTGAACATATTAGTAATACGATGAGAATCAAGATTGGCAACCTCTTCACCAAGCCATATTAAAGAGTCAAAACAAATTGAAGATTCACCAGAGTCTGTAGGAAGGTTAGCTCTAGAAATACCGGTTGGAACCAATTCCATAGGCCTACAATGTTCCGTTCTGTCCCTCAGGGTTAACCTAGAATCGAACATGACTACAGCGAGAGTCGGAATTGACAAGCTATTCACCAGTTTGACATCCTACATTTCTGTTGTTGAAACTCTCGCTGTTGCTCTCGCGGTTGGAACAGACTCTCGTATTGTAGTTGGATAAGGTTAATTGTCTGACTCCACTTTGCTGATACCGATCTGACTGCTTTGAGTCCTTCAGTGACGATGTCACTGTACAATAGCGGGTTGATGACAGAGTTGAAGGGTAGGATTATTATTGAGAACACGGGATACCACGAGGAGGCGTTTATAACCTCGAAGAAGTGCAATAGGCACACCACAGAAATGGAATCCAGCAGAGAAAGTCAGTAGCTATGATGATGGATATCTTGGTTTGCAGCTTCAGGTCTCTTTTGCGAGTTGCTGACGTTTTGACAGTACACTCTGAGATGATCTTGTGGACGTAATATTGGATGGCAATGTAGCATTCAGTAATCAAACAAAGCATATAAAGTTTAAGAAGCAGTATGGTAAGCGAATAAAGATACTGCGATCTGATTTTTGTGACAAGATATTTGAAAATACAAACACTGTCACTGCCATAAAACTCTACCTTGGTCCCCTCAATTCCTCCATAAGTGTCTGAAAACATTTCTCTTACCATGTGTCTGATTCTAATCCATGACAGAGGTTGGTTTTTGTATCTCCCGTTGTAGCTTTGTAGGATCCTGTAATGACGGTGTCTTTGTCCACCATGCCCGTAAATAAGGTTACTTTGCTGTAGTGTAACCCGTTCACAAAGAAATCTTCCAGTCCCTCAAGAAGGGGTAAAAATGCCAATGCTAGTGAAATGGAGAGAAGAAATATTAGCATGACCGAGACTTTCAAACGAGCTCGCCAACTCGTTGGATCTTTTGACACCAGAGAGTTTATATTAGCAAGTCTTGAGATACTCAAGCAAGCCATTGAAAACAGTGAGAAGTTGAGAACCTATGGTGCTGATCACCCCAAGCGTATTACAATATCTGCTGGTCAGCCACTGATACTTGCTGAGGCAGAAGGTACCCTTTGTAATGGTAGTCTACTGCTGACAATACTCAGCAAGTAGGATCCCACTAAGAAGTCTCCCACTGCTACTAAAAGTATAAGTAACTTGTTAACTCGTCCTCTGAGAGATTACTTCCTAAAATCTTTCCGTGGGGTTGTATAATGAAAGGGTTCCAAAGGGGGGGATCATAGTATCCCCCTACCCCAAAAAAATACTTTTAAAAGGGAAAAGTTTTGGAGGAGGATTTCGTGAGTTTTTAGCACGAGTCTCCAAAATTTTTGAATAATCCCCACAGTCCCGTTCCATTTACATTGGGCGTTTTTGGGGGTGTATTCACCTGTCTCGTTGCATCTGACGTGATTTCCCCAATTTCGCTATATGTGAAATTTTCACAGTCGTTTTTTCAAGATTGCAACTTTTTTGTACGTTTTGGGATATTTTGTTTTTTCGCAAAAAAAAAGTTTGCACAATTTTCCCCCCTTCTCTTAAACCAAAAATTGTCTCCTTTTGTCTTCTGTAAACTAAAAACCGGCTCTTTGCAGGGAAGTTGGTAAAATAGTTTGCTTATGTTTTTTAAAGGGCCCAAAGGCCCCCTTTCACGCTCCCGTACAGCTAGGGTTTTACATTTAAAACTTCCGTATGAAACTTACCCCAAAATTTTTCTGTTTATGGGCGACCCATCAAAAGGGTTTAGACTCCTAGAAAAGCCTTTATTGGACCCTTTGAAGGGTTTGATTTGCAGGGTCTTTCAGGGAAAAACAAACCCCTTCAATCCCTACGCAAAAACAGTAAACCCTTTTTAAATG